CTGTTTCAAGGACTTGTCAATGGGCTATAGGCAGTAAGGGAATTTAATTTTTCATTTGCCTTTGTTACCCACATCACCATGGCAAGCAATTAAACCCCCTTACATCTTGATGAGGATGACATTATATTGATAAGTTTGTCCTTTTCTTTGTTCTTAGGCAGCCAGGAGTTCCTGAGGAATATAACACATATCCCGCTGGGCAGGGGGATGGTCTGGCTCTGTTAGCTTGTGCTTGACCTCAGCTTGCCTTATGGTCCCTCATCAGTTACTACTTAGTTTTCACTAGATATTAAAGTTCCTAAGAATTAAGAATTCTAATAAATGTAATTAAGACTGCTGGAAATAACAAGAGGAACAACTCTATGTCAGGAAAATGTGACATGTGTTTTGGTAACTAAAACTAACTAACTAACTAACTAACTAAATATATATATATATATATATATATATATATATATATATATAAATAAGAGAAATAAATATACATTTTTGTTTGGGGGGAGGGAGGAAGGTGGTTTTAACCTAAGGTGACACTGGTTATTTAAAAAGGAAACAAAGGACAAATTGTGAATTTAGGAAAGAAAGTCTTTAAAAAGTTTATGGAAAAGGAATCTGTGGAAAGAAATTTCATGTGTAGTCAGTACTGACTAAGATTAGGGCCAATTTTAAGTGAATAAAGAAGTTTCATATCAAAAGCACACTTGTGCAAAATTTTTATTTTCTATTTGTTAATTAGAAAAAGTTTTCTTGAACTCTTAGTCTGCTATTAATAAGAAATTGTAAACAGAAGTTTTTTCTGTACCTTTGAAGTTATGTGTAGAAGGAAAAATAAAAACCAAAAACAGAATCTTATTATTAAAAGAGCTAAATTTTGTTCACAATTATTTAACATTTTGTATTTCCTTTTGGATTTTTTTGACAGTTTGCTTAAATGGATAGTTAAATATTGTTTCATAACAATTTGTGATCCTATTGAATCACATGTTCAAACGTTTTGATAATTTTTGACATACATCCCAAAATCAAATTCCAAAGTGAAGAAGGCCCATGGAATATTTCAAAGGTTCTGTGAAAAATTATAGTAATTAGACTCTTTATGTATGTTAAATTACATGGGAAGGATTGTCGTGTAAGTGATAATAAAATCTCTTAGATTATTTAGATTTTTGGATATTTTATTAAAATAAATGTTTCGGGGTGCCTGGGTGGCTCAGTTAGTTAAACAACCTACTCTTGATTTTGGCTGAGGTCATGATCTCATGGTTCATGAGTTCAAGCCCTGCATCAGGCTCTGTGCCAGGTAACCCCAAAAGTGCTCTTTGAGTGGCTAAACTGGGGCTAAGTGACAGAAAAGAGGGGTTTCACAAAGTCCTCTGTTTCCATAGGGACCCTCACGCATCAGAAGATGACATGAACCACCTATTTGATTGGAAAATCATTTGGTGGTGTGGTGATCTGAGGAAGTGTCCTGAGAGAGTCCTGGGGACCTGCACAGCTGCCTCTGACTGTCCCCAGCCCCTACCTCCTCAAGGAAAATATTCAGAAAATGGTTTTCTACTTCTCTCTGTGTCTCTCTCTCAAACATATAGAGAAATGCCCAGTGAATCAGCCATGATGGGCATGTGTACTATAACATTTCATACCATGAATGATAGTGACTTTGTTGTAAACATGATAACTGTCTCATTTTGTCCTAATATTTTCAAGTGTCCCATAAATTCTGTGTGTGGTTATTTCCCTTCCTGTGGCTAATTTTCCTGAACAGATCATAAAAATGTGTGACTGGGTGTCTATTTCTTACCCCAAACACACATCTTACATTCTGGGGGTTATCTAAAATATTCCATTAAAATAATTATATATAGGTATATATCATATAATATATAATTATTCACCAACCCAATCACCACAACAGGAATGTACTGTGGAAATATTGTAATATGTTTTTCTTAATTTTTCAGTGAAGAGACATGTTTTATGCACACAATGACAGAGAGATGGTTCATGAGTCCATAGGGAGAGAGGACACTAAACACAGAGACTTACCTGCACACAGAAAAGAAGTACCTAATATCCATAATAATGAGAAGCATTTATAAATTCACAATTCTACTCTTACATAAATGACTTATTAAATTTAAATTTCTAAAAATGCTCCTTTATATTATGTCAATTATAAATATTATTTTAATTATTCTATCAATAAATAACAAATAATTATATAATATTAATTATTTTTAAAGTTTACTTATTTATTTTGAGGTGGGGGTAAGCAGAGAAAGAGAAGGAGAGAGAATCCCAGACAGGTTGCACACCGCCAGTGCAGAGCCTGATTCAGGGACTGAACCCACAAACCGTGAGATCATGACCTGAGCTGAAATCAAGACTGAGTTGCTTAACTAACTGAGCCATCCAGGCACTCCTGTTAAATGTTTTTCCAAGATTTATGAGGATTAAGTGACAAATGAACATTATGTACATTCACGGTGTACAGCGTGAAGATTTCATGTGCGTGTACTTTGCCGAATGGGTGCCATAGTCAAATTTATTGTCATTTCCATCACCTCACAGAGTTCTTTTTTCTCTACTTCCTCAGCATACTGTAGGCATACAGATCACTCTTATTAGTTATGGTCACCATATTTCACATAAGATCCCAGAACTTTCACATCTTATCACTGATATTTTTAAAATTTGTTTGTTTGTTTGTTTGTTTTGAGAGAGAAAGTGTGTCCAAGTGGGGGAGAGACAGAGAGAGAGACACAGAGAGAGAGACTCTTGAGCAAGTTCTGCACTGTCAGCATAGATCCTGATGTGGGTCTTGAACCCACAAACTGTGAGATCATGACCTGAGCCAAAACCAAAAGTCAGATCCTTAACTGACTGAGCCACCCAGGTGCTCCTGATCACTGATATTTTGTACCCTTTGCTCCTTTTGATTTAATCTGGAACAAATTGTAAATTGTTCTAGAAATGTCAAGTGACTCAAGAGTGGTAGAAATGGATGAGTAAGGTGTGTCAAGTAAAAAATGTGCCTGGGTTTATTCTCAACAAGTCAGCTTTTGTCTTTTTCACCCCGAAATTTTCCCTCTCAACCACAGTTGGAGGGCAGCTCATTTTCTCACAAATAACTTGTTTTGAAAAGCAGAGAACAATAATTGTGACACTGAGATTCCCTTTTGAAACAAAATATTTAGTCTACAATGACATACTCCTAGATGTAGAAGTACACTTAAATAGACTGTAGCATGTACACCCGATAGTGTCAGGCATGTGATCACTCTGGAAATTGATGGTAACAAGGTAGGACACAGGCTGGTTCTTACTGGGCCTGGGAAATCCCACCCACAGTCATTTTCCTGGGTCCTGAGTGAGATCAGCTGTAGGAAAGTCACACCCATGGGACCTACTTCACCCCTTTTCCTGGAGCAGGCTCAGCGTTTTTCCAGTAATGGTGGAGCCCCCTATTCACCCTCTGACATTATAAAAAGTGGTTATCAGGCCTTAGGACCCCTTAAGGGCCCCATACCTGACACCCACCCCGATCTGTGCCTGATACCCCTCTCTCTGACATCCCAACTGAAGGTTCAGGCACCCTGTCAGTATGCCAGGCCAGCTCCATGCCTTCCATTCCTCCTGGGCCTGTGTCCTTACACAGAGTCTCATAATGAGTCCCTTTGTGCCACCATGCTCCTGGACAGTGCCAGCATAGGAGCCTGGGAAGGAAGGGAAGTGCTCTGCCCTGACCCCACCAAGAGCATACTCTATGCCCTAGAAGGTCTGTCAATTCATTGAAATGGCCCAGGAACATCTGACCCAGAGAGAAAAGTTCTTAGGAATAATTATTTTTCTTCCTTTTGATGATGATGATGATGATGATGATGATGATGATGATGATGATAATAAACACTCCAGAGGTTCTGGTCTTATTAAATATGGATCAAAAAGCATAGTTTTGTTGTCATCATGAGTTTTAGTTTTGTTTTGTTTTAAGATTTCCTAAGACATCAGAACATTAAATGGGAAATTGAGAGGAGAGCCAGGGTGTATCAGAAGCTACTTCTGGGTGTAGCTAGTGTTAAAGGACAAACTTACAACCCAGTAAGTTGAAATTTCTTATGGCCTTTATTCATCCATTCAGGAGCCTGGCAACATCACATCTGACAAAGGAGGTGCTTAGAGGAGTCCTAGGAAACAGAGGCTTTCATAGGGAGAAGCTGGGCAGGACAAGGAAGGTATCAGTAGGAAAAAGAGTTGTTTCTGGCAAGGTCATTCTCTCTTAGGGGAAGGGCAGGGAGTCCCATCAGGCAGATTTACATCACTAGTGCTGACCAGGAAATTCCTGATGGATTGGTTGAAAACTCCACTCCTGGAGAGACTGAAACTTCAGATAGGTTAAGTATGAAGTCTTTGCAGAACTTGATATAAATGACCATTTTGAGCCTATTGTTTTCTTCCTAACACTAGGATATGTCCAAGTTACTTTATTTTAAAATGGGAAAGTACCCAGAGCAGTCTGAGGTTTCCTTCCTTCCTTGCTTCCTTCCTTCCTTCCTTCCTTCCTTCCTTCCTTCCTTCCTTCCTTCCTCCCTCCCTCCCTTTCTTCTTTCTTCCTTCCTCCCTCCCTCCCTTTCTTCTTTCTTTCTTTCTTTCTTTCTTTCTTTCTTTCTTTCTTTCTTTCTTTCTTTCTTTCTTTCCCTTTCTCCTTCTTCTTTTTCTTCTTCTTCTTCTTCTTCTTCTTCTTCTTCTTCTTCTTCTTCTTCTTCTTCTTCTTCTTCTTCTCCTTCTAGAGAGAAAGAATCCAAGGAGGGGCAGAGAGAGAGAGAGAGAGAAAAGAGAGAAATAGGGCTCAAGCTCACCCAAAGCAGGGCTCAAATACACCCAGTATTGGAACTCAAACTCAGGAGCTGTGAAATCATGACCTGAGCCGAAGTCAGATGCTTAATGACTGAGCCACCCAGGTGCCCCCTAGAGCAGTCTGAGTTTTTTGTCCAACTTCTTCATCTATTTGTATCACTGTGTCCATCACCAACATCAAACAACTGACAGTAGTAGTCAGCCTCGTCCTCAGGTTGCAGCTCAGAGATGAGCAAAATCCCTGCATTGGCAGAGGCATCTTTGGATCCAGAGAAGCGATTGGGGACCCCAGAGCCTTCATGCTTATTTGAATCTGTTACAAAGGTAAGGAGGTAATGAGGAGGGCTCCCTGTCTTTTGTTGGTACCAGGATATGGGGTAAATATCAATCCTTTCACTGTTCAGAGTGCAGGTGAGTCTGCCTGTTGTTCCCAGAGATGCAGAGAGGGAGGGTGGCTGGGTCACCACAAATTGGGAGATGGAACCTGTGAACACAGACATACATAGGTGATGAGGCAGGAGCCTGGGTAAATTTCCTCAGAGTTCTGAGTAAGAGGGGCTGATACAGGCTAGGAACTGATAACTTGTACCCAAGGCCTATCCCTACCTGTGCAGTGGCAGAGGAGCAGTAGGAGGAGAGGAGTCCAGGCCATGGTGACACAACGTGTGGTCCCCACAGTAAGCCTGACTGTTCCTGGCCTCCTTTTGTCTTCTACCCTTTGCTACAGGAGGGGCTGTCCATGCAAATGGGTTCTATCTAGTGACTGCCCAACCCCTCCCTGAGCCCTGGTGCTGGAGCTCAGCTCACACCACACACTGAAGAGGATGGAGGTTGGCTTCAGCCCTGGGGAGAGCCCTAGGAGGAAGCGAGGCGACACACAGGTCCCTCCTTAGGTGACTTTGCCAGGCCAGAGAGGACAAAACTGCTAAGTTCCCAGCAGGGATCAGAGGGCCTAGTCCTCAGGTCCAGGCTCCCCTGAGCAGTTGTGTAGGGACCACAGTGCAGTCTCACAGAGCCACCTGCTGGTCACAGGCCCAAAGCCCCGAGGGCCCAGCCAGTTTCTGCACCTCACCAGTTCCCTATGTATTCACACATCAGTGATCTGATTTACTGATGGTGTGATTCCATAGTGGTGTCCATGATTACTGTAGTGTTTTTCACTCTCAGAAGGAGTCCTGGTTTATGTGAGATGCAAAATTCACCTAAATTACAACATAAGTTGCTGGCACTCCAGAGATGATACTGCAAGCGTCATATCCCTCCATTGATATGCAATTTAGAAAATTGACATATATAGGTAAACGTGTTTACACAAACTCTAGATCTTGAAGATTTTCTTCTGTTTTCTTCTGAAAGACAATAGCTTTATGTTTTACAGTTAAGTCTAGGATACATTTAATAAGTTTTTTGTTTGTTTGGTTTTGTTTTTTTTTTTTTAGTAAGAAGAGAGGTTTAGTAATATTCATTTCCCCCTATGGATATCTAATTGTTCTGTGGTCATTTGTCCAAAGCATTATCCTTCCTCTAAAAGAATTTTTCAACTTTGTCAAAAATAAATAACTTATGAGTCAGCTGAGGCCTTAGCTGGATCTCCTCCTTTTCCTGTGCTGGTTATCTGTGGCAGCCATGAAGACTGTTCAACCCCAAGGCCAAGGTAACCAAGCCTAGGTAGCATGGATGGTCAACATCAGAGTGGGTCTGGGGCTGCAGAACATGCTGAGGACCAGCTTGGGGCCTAAGGGCACCATAAAGATGCTTGTTTCTGGTGCTGGAGACATCAAGCTTACTAAAGATGACAATGTGCTGCTTCATGAAATGCAAGTTCAATACCCAACAGTCTCCATAGCCAAAGTAGCAACAGCCCAGGATAATATAACTGGTGATGGTACCACTCCCAATATCCTAATCATTGGGAAGCTGCTGAAACAAGCATATCTCTACATTTCGGAAGGTCTTCGTCTCAGAATAATATTCAAAGAATTTAAAGCTGCAAAGGAAAAGGCACTTCAGTTTTTGAAACAAATCTAAGAAATGGACACAGAAATACTCCTAGAGGTGGACAGAGCATCTCTACATACTAAAGTGCATGCTGAACTTGCTGAGGCCTTAGTTAACACCGGCTGTAGTGGACTCCAGTTTTGCCATTAAACAAGATGAACCTATTGACCTCTTCGTAGTTGAGGTCATGGAAATAACATAGATATCTGAGCCTGATACAAGGTTAATTAGAGGTCTTGTTTTGGACTGTGGGGTTTGGCAGCCATCCTGATGTGAAAAAAAAAAAAGTAGAAGATGTATACTTTCTCAAGTGCAATGTGTCCTGAGAATATGAATAAACAGAAGTGAATTCTGGCTTTTTTAAAATAAGAGTGCAGAAGGGAGAGAGAAACTCATAATAGCTGAAAGAAAATTTATCGAAGATAGAGTTAAAAATAGTAGAATTGAAAAAGAAAGTCTGTGGTGATTCACATAAAGTATTTGTTGTTATTGGGGCACGTGGCTGGCTTAGTCAGTTCAGCGTCTGACTTCAGCTCAGGTCATGATGTCACAGTTTGTGGGTTTAAGCCCCATATCAGGCTCTGTGCTGACAGCTCAGAGCCTGGAGCCTCTTCAGATTCTGTGCCTCCTTGTCTCTCTCTGACCTTTCATCTCTTGTTCTCTCTCTCTCCCCAAAATGAATAAACTTCAAAAAATTGTTTTTCCAGATTTAAAAAAGCTTTTTATTTTAAGCTGACTTAGAGTAATTTGATCAAATCTATCTTTGTGAGCAAATTAAAACATTTATCTTTTCTTCCTATGTTATTCCTTCAAAATTTAGAAAAAATATCAGTAAGTACTGTGATATTTTTTGACGATATATTTATTTGCATAAGTTCAATGAGAATCTGTTCTCCTTGAACAAGACACAACAGCAAAATTGGTTATATTACCAAGACTTTGACTGGAGTGTCACATTTGAGGGAGACATACATAGACTCAGATATGAACAGATAGCTTTAAAGAACTAAAGTTGACTTTGTGGAGACAATAAAGCTCTTTGGAAATACTAGCCTGGTACCTTCCTACAGAGCTCCCCATAGCATCACCAGGTGAGTAAATAAGGTGACTTATGGCAAGTGCAGGAACTTCAAGATATTTTGAGAAACTCAAGAGGGGAGTCCTGAGTTCAAGCCCCACATTAGGTGTATAACTTACTTTAAATAAATAAATGAAAGTTCAATCTACAGATTCCTTATAAAAGGTCTATGAGGAGCACCAGGATGGCTCAGTTGGTTGAACGTCTGACTTTGGCTTGGGTCATGATCTCAAGGTTCGTCAGTTTGAGCCTCACATTGGGCTCTCTGCTGCCAGCCTATCGAGAATTTTGGATTCTCTGTCACCCTGTCTCTTTGCCCTTCCCTTTCTTGCACTATCTATGTCTCAAAAAATAAATAAAACATTAAAAAATATAAAACAATATAAGTTTTATCAAATCAGGCTTTAAATAGCCTACATTGTCAGCCACTATTCTTGCTGAATTTATATAAATAATCATGCCAATATTTTGGAAACAACTTATTTTGCAAACTAAGTAGTATTAATTTGGCTAATTTTTAGTAAAATTGAAAGTTATTACAGAGAAAAATATGTTTCAAGAACACACTCTTGTAGATACTAGATTTTAATCTTGATCATTGTAAACTGGACCAAATCCTGGTTCTTCTTGTGTCCCTCAATTCTTGGCTACAATTCTCTCAGCTAATATTTTCTTTTTTTTTTTTTATTTCAGAGAGAGAGAGAGAGAGAGCATGAGCAGGGGAGGATCAGAGAGAAAGGGAGACATAGAATCTGAAACAGGCTCCAGGCTCTGAGCTAGCTGTCAGTACAGAGCCCAACGCGGGGCTCGAACCCAAGAACGGTGAGATCATGACCTGAGCCGAAGTCGAATGCTCAACTGACTGAGCCACCAAGGCGCCCCTAAGCTAACATTTTCAATTTTTTCTCTCACCTTTCTGACAATTGGAATAACTTGGTAACTAAAGCTCCCCGAATTCTGCAAAATTAACAAAAATGACTGCATGTAAGCTTCAGAGAAATCCCCTCATTAACTCATGCATAGACAATCTTCCTGCCTGCTGCTCTGTGGGCGCCTCAAAAAGATCACCAGACATGTCTAAACTGAAAACACTAAAGCTGATCAGATCACCACTGCCTGCCTTCGTTCCATCTGCAGATGCTTCCAGCCAGATATCTAGACGTCTCACTGGCAGCGCTCAGGACTCAGACACTGGTTTATAAGTAGCTTCAACCATTAGTCTATGTTTTATTTTTGTTTCCATAAAAATGTCACTTATCAATTACCTGATTCTTTGCCCAATGTGGACCTGACTTTGGGAGCCCATCTGCATCACCACCTCCTGAAATGAGTTTAACTGAACTGACTTATTGTCAGGCTATTTGGTTCAACAAGATGAAACAATATACTTGCTCAACTTTGGATATATGAGACTTTAGGGAAAAATCAGAGCAGGGATCTGTAGGGGAGAAAGGCAGGCTGCCCCTCGATGGGCCACTTTGGCATGAAGATTATCATGAGTTAAAAAGCGGTTGAAGCCCATCCAGCACACTCAGGAAAAATGCTTTCATGTCTCCTGAACTGACTAAAAGAACTTAGGGGAAGCACCTGCTCCGGGAAGAGAGCTGGCACCACAGACAGCTGCACTAGGATGTGAACGAGGTGGGGCAGACGGGGGACCCTGCAAGGCCTGTTTGGTTACAGTTCTCTCTGTCCCATTGTTTCCCAGGGGCCCTACATACATTGTTTACCAAACATCTACTCTTCTTCTGTCTGTAAAGTACATTTCTTTGCATTGAATATTAGACCTCTACCTCCTTCTGCGTAGTTCAGAAAAACATATATCCCTCTGTAGCAGGATCCTCACAGAGTCGTAACACCGAGACTTTTCTTTCCAGAAACCAACTTTATTCCAGCCGGCACTGCTCAGTTGGGTTTGTACCCAAAGAATTGAACCTTAAATGCCACATGGCATAGTTTTTAATTTATATTTTACTTCGTTGTCTCCCATATGTGGTAACACACAAACATGTAGTCTGATTAAATGGTCTCATGTTACAAGGTCGTGAGGGATGTTGTCACATACTATAGTCAGGTTGCCCTGAGATTTTTTTCTTTCCTTAGGGAGGGGACCCTACCATATTTCCCCCCTTTGATGCTCAGAACCCTTTATTTTGGATCAAAGAGCATCATCTTTTTTTTTCTTTCATAGTTTATTGTCAAGTCGGTTTCCATATAACACCCAGTGCTCATCCCAACAAGTGCCCTCCTCCATGACCATCACCCCCCTTCCCTTCTCCCCGACCCCATTATCCCTCAGTTTGTTCTCAGTATTCAAGTGTCTCTCATGATTTGCTTTCCTCCCTCTCCCCAATTATTTTCCCCCTTATCCCCCATGGTCCTCTGTTAAGTTTCTCCTGATCCATTATAAGTGAAAACATAGGGTATCTGTCTTTCTCTGGCTAACTTATTTCAAAAGAGCATCATCTGGATTCAGAGGTTTATATTTTTATAACATCATTACAAGAGTGACTGTCTTTTTTTCTCTCTCCCTCTTTTTTTTTTAAATTATGGCCTCAGTGAGACTAGAGACAGAC